CTCCCCTCCATCGCCCACGCTGCACCTGCTCGCTTTCGGATCCGGCAAGTGCAATCTTGCAAGTTATCGTTCGCATCACGAGCCCGCAACGGCACCCGGTAAACCACGCACATGCGTCTAACGATCTTCACCGCCAACGTTGAACTAGGGCCATCTCTGCCGGCATCTGCCCGAATACGGCTACCCCGGCCAGTCGTTTAAGACGCTGCATCCCATATTACGACATCTGGCTACCTCCGAGCTTCAGAGCACAATCCCACGTGCGCCCAGCTCCCCGTCGTCTACGCGAACAGGATCACCCACTACTTCGCTATAAGGTAGCTCGCCCGGTATTGACAACTTTAGACGAACCTCCTCCTTTTTTCCTTTTGCACCACAATCTCACACCTGACGACTCACGAGCTCGGAACAATGTCTCAATCCATCAATGTAACTACGACTCAGGCCCAGTCCGGCATCTCCCAAGACCTGCGGAACAACATTTACTCGGCCCTTCTTTCTGGCGATGGCATCCGCAATATTGAATCCACCCTAGACGAATCCCTGCGGGCCTCTGGGTTCAAAGACGATCTAAGAGCCTACATTACCGATCTGTTCCGCTCGGGCCAGGCTACTACCTGCGAGGAAGCCCGGAATCTGGCGATGCAGAAGATCAGAGAGCAAACACGTGGTTTGGAGGATCAATCCAATGGCATCAACGGCACCAACGGAACGACGAATGGAGATGGAGAGAATGGAGAGGAGGTCAACTTGAAAATTCCGAAATCGGCAATCGACGCCGGTGCAAAGACAGTCATGAAGGAGTTGGAGAAGGTGTGCGACATCACATACGAAGACGACAAGTGATCGCCCCTCCTGCAATCTGAGAAAGAGTCCATATTCCATGACACAGCAAAATGCAGGCTCGTGTCGCCCGAGTCAGTGTAGTTGGAGGGGAAGTCTTCAAAGCAAAGGCCTTAACGAACCATACTATCGAGTGCACAGCCGACACCGTTGCAATGTGGGGCGGGCGACATCGTTCAACGGCACCGATGGGTTCCGGCCGCTGTCTCGGGTGATCAGAGACCTCGCCTGTGCCCATGAAACCTTGCCTCATGACCGCTGCGCCATGTGGACAGCGTTGAATCAACCATGTTGGAGGCTCGGCCGTTCGTTGAGTATGGATGGATTGGTGTAAAAAGTGCACGGTGATGGGAAAGGAAGTCAGGTGAGAGACTGTAACACAGCTCAATACAAGGACATAGTAGGCGCAGCAAAAGTTCATTGATAACATGCATTCTCATTGAGGCCATTGGTTCGTGAAAGATACTACTGATATCCTGTCAAAGCGCTAGCAATTACGCGCGCCTCCATCTATCTATGAGACGTCAATCGCCCCTCATGCCGTGTGATGATGAAAAAGGGAAACCCATCCGTCATGATCCTGCAACTGTCTAGTTGTACAGGTCCTCGTCCTCACCACCAGCGCCGAACGTGTTCTGCTCACCACCGCCCGCTGCGTTCTCAGCATCGGGGAAGCGGAAGAAGCTTGATCCACCAGAGTTCTTCATTGACTGTGCAAAGGCCTCGTACCGGCGGATCTCAACATCGGTGACGGAGCGACGAGCGGAGCGCATGGCCTCCTCGAAGTGAGCCTTGGTCAGCACAGGTACGGGGTCCTCCTCGTCTACCTCCATGTCGACATCCTCACCAGCAGCCTCGCGAGCCTTGCGGCGCTCGATGTCAATCGCAATAGACTGCTTAATGGCGAGCTTGACCGCACGCTGGGTGACGAATCCAAGATCGGCACCGGAGAATCCGTGGGTGTTCTGGGCGATGAAGTCGATGTTGACATCCTCGGCGACAGGGGTCTTGCGAAGCTGAGCCTTGATGATGCTGGCACGCGACGCCAGATCGGGCAGAGGAACGTAGACGAGAGTGTCAAGACGACCAGGACGGCACAGAGCATTGTCGAGCTGTTCCGGTCGGTTGGTGGCACCGATAACGAAGACGTTCTTCTTCGATGTCATACCGTCCATCTCAGTGAGGAGCTGGTTGACGACACGGTCAGACGCACCACCGGCATCTCCTTGAGATCCACCACGCGACTTGGCGATAGAGTCCAACTCGTCCAAGAAGACAACGCAAGGTGCGGCAGCACGCGCCTTGTCGAAGATGTCACGGATGTTGCTCTCAGACTCACCGAACCACATGGAGAGTAGCTCGGGACCCTTGATGGAGATGAAGTTGGCCGCGCACTCGTTGGCAACAGCCTTGGCAAGAAGCGTCTTACCAGTACCAGGAGGACCGTAGAACAGTACACCTCGCGATGGAGACATACCGAACTTGAGGAACTTGTCGGGGTGGTCGACTGGATACTGCACGGACTCAATGAGCTCGCGCTTGACTTCCTCCAGACCACCAATGTCCTCCCACCGGACGTTGGGAACTTCGACAACGGCGACCTCACGAAGGGCTGACGGGTTGGATACACCAAGAGCGAAACGGAAGTTCTCCATGGTCACGCCCAGTGAGTCCAGAACCTCGGCGTCAATGGTGTCCTCGTCAAGATCGATGAGGTCCATCTTCTCACGAATCTGCTGCATGGCAGCCTCAGAGCAAAGCGAAGCCAAATCAGAACCAACGTAACCGTGAGTCTCAGCAGCGATAGTTTGTAGGTCGACATCGTCACCGAGCTTCATGTTCTTGGTGTGGATCTGCATGATCTCGAGACGGCCGGTAGGGTCGGGAATACCGATATCGACTTCACGGTCGAAACGTCCGAAACGGCGGAGGGCGGGGTCGATGGAGTTGGGACGGTTGGTGGCAGCCATGACAACAACGTTGGAGCGAGCCTTCATGCCGTCCATGAGAGTGAGCAATTGCGAAACGACACGGCGCTCGACTTCACCGTTGGTCTTCTCACGCTTGGGCGCGATGGAGTCGATTTCATCAATGAAGATGATCGCGGGGGAGTTCTTCTCGGCCTCCTCGAACGCCTTGCGCAGATTTGACTCTGACTCTCCGGCCATCTTGGACATGATCTCGGGACCGTTGATCAGGAAGAAGAAAGCACCGGTCTCGTTGGCGACGGCACGAGCCATCAGTGTCTTACCGGTACCGGGAGGACCGTACATCAGGATACCACGCGGAGGCTTGATACCGATGGACTTGAAGAGCTGAGGATGCCTCAGTGGCAACTCGACCAACTCTCGGATCTGTGCCATCTGCTTTCGGCAGCCACCAATGTCATCGTAGCCAACCTCGTTGAGGTTACCCTCCTCGTCCTCGCGCTGGATGGGCTCGCCCTCGCAGTGGATGACTGTATCTTGTGCAACAATACCGAACTCTGGCGGGTCGACCTCTACGACCTTGAACTCCACTTGGCGCATACCACCGCGGGCTGTGAAAGTGTCGCCTTGACGAACCGGTCGGTAGGCTTCGCGGAAGTATGGGGCGAGGAAAACGTCGAACAGCGATCCGGTGATACCCTCGACGGTGTCGGCGATGGGAAGGACTGCAATGCGCTTGGCCTGAAATGGAGTTAGCTTTGGATCAGCGTTTCAAAGATGTAGCTACGTACGTATTTGATGTCAGGGCACGGGTGGATGGTAATAACATCACCGTGCTTGACACGCAGGTTGTGGCGAACCACACGGTTTATCCGCGCAGAGCCATCGTCGAGGTCGTCGTCGGCGAGCACAATAAGAACGGTGTCCTTCCGCTTCTTGCCCTTGACGAGGACTGTGTCACCACGGAAGAGCTGGAGCGTCTCCATGGTGTTGTTTGAGAGGGCGATAATCGAGTTGTCATCGTTGACGGCGTCGGTGACACTGCGGAGTCAGTACGGCTTCTTTGTGTCGCTTCGTAGCGTACTTACATCAGCGAGTTTGGCTTCTTCTTCTTCTTGAGGATGGCAGTTGCGGTCTCGTCGTTCTGTGGCGGATCAGTAAAGGCGGTCTCAGATGGGTGTTTGGCAGTGCCTACATCCTTGGGCTCAGCGCCATCGGGGTTCCTGGAGTCTTGTTAGTCGCGGTTGCAAACATGCGGCTGGTGGCAATGCACGTACTTGGAAAGATCCACCTTCGGCTTGGAGTGGTCTGGTTCAGCGGACATCTTGCTGATGTGTCTCTATGGAATGCTGCGACTGTACTTTTCCGGTGCAAAGAGGGACGCCGGGATTTGCAGCGCGGTGGAAGTGGTTGTGGGTGGGGTGGGGGGTAAGATGGAGGTGATGGGTCTTTGGTGTTTGGGGCGTGGTGGTTTAAGTAAGTTGGAGCTTGAACAGTGTCGGTGATCTCACTGCTCGAGCTAGCTTGATGTTGCCTTAGGGTCCGTGCTCCTTCCGCCGCCGCAACATTGGAAGTTGCTGGAAACGCTTAGACAAGCCGGCCTACTGGAAACACTGTGTCCCTTTCACCGTCAATTGCTTCCCGCCTCCCTCGGAAAGGCTCCATGCGGGCCAATCAGGCCCGCTTTGTGCTACTCTTCGCATCTCCAGGGTGAGACTGGCGTTGTTACGCGTCCGACTGGAGCCTGCTGCAGCCTCATTCGCGCCACCAAAACGCCAAGAAAGTCTCCATATCGGTCCTTCGTCAGTGCGCGCGATAAGTAAACCTACATGTCCGTCAGGTACACGTAGACCATAGCAGTACTGGTACCCGTCCGACGCTTGCCAAATCCTATGCGTACCATGGGTAGCTATTGCAGTTACTCTCTGGCACACATAGAAGGAAAGAACCCTTGCTGTTTCACACCACAACACTTCTGGATGTTTTCAGATTGTCCATGGTTCGCCTGCATATTCTAGTCTTTCAGGCTGCTGGCTGCTTTGTGGTCCCTGGCCTCATGATCACGTTGCAGCACCAGATAGTGCGGAAATTCACAACATAAACCTGTTGATCTGGACAGACTTACACCACGACGAACTCGATCTATCTTGGTCACGTTCTTCCAAGTCAACAGCTTCGGAGCGATGTAGATATGTATTAGGATATACTAACTTCTTGCACTAGACATCTTCACACGTCCTGCTGTTGCATTCCAGCAGACGCTGCACATGCTTTCTTCTCCATCTCGCGCAAGCATGGCGCTTGGAACATATTGCCATACACCATGTTCTTCACAGTACCGACAGCGACTAGTAGCCACAGAAGTATGACACTGACACCAAGTACCGTACCTAGAACTCTGAAGAACGCGGATGGCAGTTCTTGGCCGATGGTAATTGTCGACATCGTGAAGACGCCAATGGGAAAGGTGAACCCCCACCAACCCATATTGAAAGGGAATTTGCTCCGACTGATTGACGCGACTGCGAAGAATAGCCATACCAAGCCAAAGCCCCATAGCGTGATGGCGGTCATCCAGCCTAGTACGTAGAGAACTTCACCGGCTATTGGATGCAACGTGTTCGTCTCTGGAAAGGTCTTTGAAGCTTGGATTCCGAGTTTCAAAGCGGCGTATCCGCCCTGTCCCATAGGTCCAAGAGGCAGGAAGACACTGACGATTACTTCCTGAGATGGGAGATTATGGATGGCGAGACGGTGGAAGTACATCACCATAACCACGAGTGCCAGTGGCACGCCCATACCCCACAGCACATAGCTGGTGACTATGGTGGTTAGGGCGTGGTTTGGCTCAGGTAGCACTGACGCAACAACGCCACCGGAAGCTGCTGCAACGATACAGGCTACGATCGGGAGGAGCCAGGCTGCTGTCATCATATCGTGGCGGTTTTGGTGTTTCGTCATCCTGCTGTGATGTCAGCTGGCGATGTTGCTTCGGGTTTGTCACTTTGAATACATAGTGCCAGACTGTTACAACCGAAAGCAAGCATGGATCAACTTACATTTGAAAAGGCAGCCAGAGACAACAGGCGACGCTCAGCGCAACATCGAGCCACCACATTCCCCAAACAACATACGGCGTCGAACCACCCCAAGCTGGTACGCAAACCGTAGCGAACATGTTGATGATGGTAGCAAATCCCATGGGTATTGTGCCGAGAAAGAGCGATTGCACCGGATGCTGAAGCATCAGCGTCCACGTGGCGGGGTACAGTGCGTATCTTAGGATGGATATCAAGAGTATGATGGAGAATATGAGGACGTTCAAGATGAAGAACGCGATACTGAGGGTTCTCAACGAGCCGTGGTAACGAGGGTAGAGCTCAGAGAAGGCATTGAGCAAGATCGCGACGATGCCTGTACCCATCGTAACAGCGAACTAGGCTTCGGTCAGTCTTGTATTCTGCTGAAGCTGCGAGGGGATTATCGTACCCATGATGGAGTGAAGTTTTGGACAACGCGTCGCCAGCCCCGACGGTCGGCAGGTATCAGCCACTTGGGCAGCACTTGAGCATCTGCAAATTGTTCCTTGCTACGACACATTTCGCCTGGCCGTAGACGAGTCTCACGTTGTATCGCACATGGTGTTGACATTCTGATGAGATCTGACTGAAGGGTTGGAGCTGAAAGAGACCAAGGGTGATTGACAATGAGAGATTGAAATTAGGGAAGAGGAGATCACACTTCACTTATACAAACAACCGCAGCTTAGAGTCATCGTGTTTCCAGGCTAGACTTTTCTTTCTTCACAATCGCCTGTATCTTCGTCGAGATTTGCTGGTTATACGGCTTGCACAGGCCACAACGGCCGGTTCCTCGGCGACGGTCCGAACTTCGTTACGTCAGACTCGATTACTCACACTATCGCGATAGCGTTAGGAATAAGTTCTGTCCATCCACGAATGTTGTGCTAACGATTGTCTGGTTGCCATAATTGCGTGATGAAGGGCTTACAGACTGAAGCCGGGAGTCCTTGAGCAATCTGGAAGGGATGATTGATGCTAGCTGAACTAGGTCTAGAGCAAATTGCGGCTTCCGGACTGCCCATGTGCGGAGGTGCGGGCAGACAAGAGCACTTCACGGGCCTACTCGTGGTCTTCGCACTCCAGCCCTGATGGAGCTCATCGCTGCAACGCGGTGTTCTGCTTCGCAACGTGGTAGTCGCATCTGTGGGTGTACTGCTCTCGCTGTCACTACCTAGGTACACACGCGTTTCATTACATCCCGAAGCGACACCAAAGACCTACTTTGGTAGATTTTATCGGTATTGCTGACGTTACTTTAGCGGGCTTACTTCCTGACCGGTAACGTCGTGTTCGTTGCTTGATTGCCGCTAATAGGGGACTCGCGCCTCTTTTCTCAATCGCCGTGTCCGCGCATGATACAGGATGCATACAATTACGGGTTTCGTCAGGTAAGACGCTTTCTCGCATAAAATCGTGGCATAGTACAACCCAAGCTGACACAGCGTGAAGCCTACGAGTCGAGTGTCGCCAATGTGGCTCTGTATTCCTATCATCTGAAGAGCTACAATTGCACGAACAACTCACACATCACACATGCACGGAATGCAACTATCAGTTTTATAGCTGGTTACAGCTGAAAGGCCATTATCGTCAATATCAATGTGCCCACATCTGTGAAGGGTGCGACGGGATTTGGAACACATTTGCGGCCTTCCAAAAGCATGTTGCAGCCTACAATGTCTGCAAGCAGTGCGAGCGGCACTTCGACACGCCCTCGAACTTGGCACATGTAAGTCAACACTAGCTGCTGGCATAGATATGACCAAGGCTAACGTATGTAAAGCACGAGTTGACGCATCGTAAAGCTACCTACGAGTGCCTCGCCTGCACACGCAATTTCACAACCTACGGAGGAATGATCATTCACCTTGAGTCTGGTGCTTGCCCTTCCCGTATTGACGCGTATGATTTGGCACTCACAACTGCGAGGTGCTCTCAAGGAGCCATATTTTTTATTTACAAGGAAGACCAAGAAGCCATCAAACAGGGCATCGACCTGCTGCGAGTATATCGCGAGCAAGGTGGTAGCACTCTTGTCTTCGGTTGTCCTACTTGCGGTACCAAATTTCCGAAGTTGTCGAGTGTTTTCATGCACGTTGAATCGCCTGCTTGTTCCCAGCAGCTGGGTGAAGGGGCAGTTGGAAAGCTTCAAACGTGGCTGTCGTGGCAGTTAGGTAAGGGTATTGGCTGCACAATAGCTTCTTGAAGAGGTTATTACACATCTCGTTGTTCCGAGATATCAGCAAATTCTATGATGTACATTAATAACGTCCGCGGATATGCGCATTTGACCTTCACAAGGGCTGCTCAGAATTCGTGTCGCATCTTGCTGCACACACATCAAAGAATCCTAACAAATGAATACTTAGCAAAGCTACGTATACTTCTTCGCTGGAAAAGTGCGACACGAACTGTCGCAGAAACAATGTATGTGTTCGGCGTTACTTTTCACACCACCTATCTCTATGCTTCTAAAGTCTGTAGATTCGAGCCCGTGGCATTCATCTTCGCCTCTGCCATCAACATCCTCTTCTGGTCCAGGTCGAAGACAATGTACGCTCCTTGCATGAATGGGGCACCCAGGCTCGCGAAATCGTCTCTATCCGAAGGAAACATCGGTAGATAGCACTGGGTGCCGCTTGAGGACGAGTCGCGTACCAGCATGGCAGCCAAAGGGGTGCTGACTTTCGCTCGGTTGTTGTTGAAACTGAATGAAAGGCTCTCTCCGCGAGAGCCTAGGTCGCATGGTACACTACCAAGTCGACCAGCCTGCTCATCGAAGGTCGTACCTACAGCCATAGCTATGGCGCGGAGTGAGGCAGAGGGGACGTTCAGTGCCGGGTTTCCGGTATCGATCAGTACCGGGGGTAGACCGCCTCGTGGTGCTAGATCAACATTGGAGCCAGAAGCAGATGAGTCGCCGCCCACTAACCGCATGGAGCTCCAGTTGATAACAAATTTCGATGCAACTCCATTGTTGTTCAACAAGAACGAACCTGCATCTTGGAGCTGACCTTGGAACTTAGCCGTGTCAACGCCACCAAACACAATGGAGCCTTCGGGGTTACCTGTCGAAACTATTTGTCAGTAGAATACATGGTAAAGTAGATGCCACGACTCACGGAAGTCATTCATGAAAACACCATACACATTGGCGTCGGTCGCACCAGCATCTCTGAGTTTGGCGGGCGTGTTCTGATAAGTCGGCCGGACGACTTCATTCTCAACAGGTCCGATACCTAAGATAGGGAACAGTGGAGTGTCGGCTGGTAGGGAACCTTGTTCGATAGCTCCCAGCTGCGCATTAGATATCGTCTGCTTCGCAAGTGTCAATGCGGTAGAAACGAATCGCCCTCGGAACGCAGCACCATTAGCGAAATCGGTGTTTAGTTCTACACCGACATCTCTAAGGCTACTATCTTCGTCCGTGTTGAATGAGCCAGTGACGAAAAGAGTGCCGGAGCATTGTTGCTGTTGGTCCTGACATATACGACTGCCAGTCCTTGGGATGATGAGATCGCTGCTTCCCGTATCCAAAACTGCCGTTATCGACTGCGGCGGCGTACCGACTCCTATCGAGATGAGAGGAACGAATGAACCGGCATTGTCGATATGCTTGATAGGTATTGACAGGAGTTTCAGAGTTTGCGCCCGTGCAAGTTGCACACCAACGAGGAAAGATATGCAGAAGGTGACTGTAGAGAGCGGAGATGACATAGCAAGCAAGTAGGACGAATACACCGACAGAGATGAATACAACTGATGATGTAGTAGAGTTGCTGGAGGACTAGTCGGACCGGAAACACCTCGCCGTACTTACCTTTGGCGAGCATTTCTATACCCAACACAGTGGTATTCCACCGAGTATCTTGTGGACGTTTAGTTGAGTCATACCGTCTTTCGTGGAATTGGAAGGGGTGCTTTTGCGATGTCGATGCTGATGATTAAGGCTGGAAGGCCAGCAAAAGCACCACCCATTGGCCAGCCTCGAGCCCGGCAATTAGGAATCCCCACTATCGCCGGGAATACCTCTATCGCAATGATTTATCTGACGGCTGCTAGAGACGTCAAAAACACAGGTGTGGCAAAGTTGCCTGCAAAGCGTCAAGTCTGCCGACACGTAAGAAGACGTCTTGCAGCAATAGTACAGGATGCCTTGTCCGCAACCGTGGCTACATCGGAGCTACAGACACCGCGGGCTTCCCACATAGATTACTTGTTTCGGAGGATGTTTCACCTCGAATCAGTGGGAGCAAAATGAAAGAGCAAAAATGTAGCAAAAAGAGAGTTGTCTCCCCACCATGAGTCGAACAAGGGACCTTCTGATAACAGCAGATATTACAGTCAGACGCTCTAAACCAACTGAGCTACGGGGAGAATACTTCAAAGCGAAGTCGTGCTTGCTGGATGGAAATTTTGACAAATTTGTCATACATAATGGCGTGTGCGTGGCGAAATTCACGGACTTCGGGTTGTGGCGCGCTGATATGCAAGAGTGGGGTCGAAGCGGTTCGTGTTCTCAACTCGCCGATTGCTGACCTCGGAACTCAAAGAACACGACACGAACCGATTCGGCGACACCTAACATCTATACCTGAGTGGAGTTCGATATCATTATCTACAAACTATGCCTTCCCCTATAACCGCCAAACAATCGCTAGAATACACGACTTGAACTATCACTCCTAGCCCCGCCACACCGCTTCAAGCACGCACATGAAGCTCAGCGGGTCTGCTTCCACTCTGACCACATCAAACCTCTCATCAGCCTGCTTGAAGATATCTTTCCACGCCTCCACCGGCCTCTCCTTCGCATTGAACAACGCCATCATCCTAAGATCAGTAGCT